CTCCAGCCATTGCAGCCTCCTGGGGAGTGAACCAGTGGGTGGAAGACCGACCTCTCTCTCTGTCTCTACCTCTCTCTGTAACTCTTTCAAATAAATAAAATAAATCTTAAAAAAAAAAATTGTTTTAGTACAAATAATAATTTTTTAATGTTTGTTTATTTATTTGAAAGGTAGAGTCACAGAGAGGCAGAGGCAGAGAGAGAGGTCTTCCATCTGCTGGTTTACTACCCAATTTTTATTTTCATTTCCACCTCTCTGAAGTCCTCACATCTCAAAAGAACAGCACTTGTGCATACACAGTGAGCTTTATACTTTGGGGAATTATGCATAATCACAGTAAAACCACTTAAACGCCCAACAGAGGGCCTGGCATGCTGTGGAATTCTAGGCAGCCTCGAGGAATGACGACGCAGACAAGCAGTTAGCGCAGGTATTTCCAGAACACATTGAAAAAAAGCACATGACAGAACTGCATTCACTGTTCGACCTCATTTGCATAAATCTCTATACGTGGTGTTTGTAGATACACTAGTACGTGTGAGACACATAAGAAAAAGGTAGAAACAGAGTTGACAGAATTCGTGAAGACAACCAAGATGCTCACAGTGGCCACGCCCAGATGGCAGGGGCTTACATGATTCTTGCCTGTATGTGTGTACACTGATACTACTCTACACGTTACAGAAGGTTTGTGAGAACGTACAACACCAAGAGTAAGCTCTGATGTGAGCTACAAACTTTGGGTAACCGCGAGGCGTCAGTACAGGTTCACGGGTTACACAGAACCGCCCCTCTGATGCAGGGTGCTGAGTAGGCTGTGTGTGGCAGGGCAGCAACCACATGGAACTTACTGTGGTCTGAGAATGTCTTCCAAAAGTAAGCCCTGGGGCCGGCGCTGTGGCACAGTAGGCTAAGCTTCCACTGCAGCGCCAGCACCCAATATGGGCACCAGTTCATGTCCTGGTTGCTCTACTTCCAATCCAGCTCTCCGCTACTGCCTGAAAAAGCTATGGAAGATGGCCCAAGTGCCTGGGTCCCTGCACCTGCATGGGAGACCTGGAAGAGGCTCCTGGCTCCTGGCTTCAGATCTGCCCCGCTCTGGCAGTTGTGACCATTTGGGAGGTGAACCAGCAGATGGAAGACCTTTCTCTCTGTCTCTCCCTCTGTCTGTAACTCTACCTTTCAAATAAATAAATAAATCTTTAAATGGAAAAAAAAAAAAAAAAAGCAAGCGCTGGAAACTTAGTCCTCAGCTCACCAAAGTGGCAAGACAGGGCCTATCGGGAGGCGTTTAGGTCCTGGGGCCGCCGTTCTCGTGGACGGATGAGAATCAGCTGCAAGAATCAGCTCCTGCGACCTCTCGCTCTGACTCCTGTGCTGCGTTCTGACACAGCCGGAAGGCCCTCGCTAGGCGCGCCGCTCAGACTTGCACCTCTTAGCCTCCAGAACCGGAAGCCAATTAAAGTCCTAATGGTTACACATCACCCAGTCTGTGGTATTTGTTATAGCAGCACAAAACAGATGAAAACAGAGGGCCTGCACTGTGGCACAGCGGGGTAAGCCTCCCACTGCGATGCCAGTGTCCCATATTGGAGTGCTGGTTTGAGTCCTGGCTGCTACACTTCTGAGCCGGCTCCCTGCTGATGCACCTGGGAAAGTAGTGGATGATGGCTCCATTATTGGTGTTCCTGCACCCATTTGGGAGACCGTGATGGAGTTTCAGGCTCTTGGCTTCAGCCTGGCCCAGCATGGGTTGTTGCAGCCATTTGAGAAGTGAACCAGCAGATGGAAGACCATTATCTCTACCTACCAACCCCACCACTCTGCCTTTCAAATAAATAAAACACTAAATCTTTAAAAAAATAACATAAACAGGAATTATCTAGACTTTCTGGTCGCTTTTGCTGTGAACCAAAAACTTCTGTAAAAAAACAGTCATTAGGGCCAGTGTTGTAGCATAGCAAGTAAAGCTGCCACCTGCGGTGCTGGCATCCCATATGGGCACTGGTTAGTGTCCCGGCTGCTCCACTTCCTATCCAGCTCCCTGCTAACAGCCTGGGAAAAGCAGCAAAGGATGGCCCAAGTGTCTGGGCTCCTGCCATCCACGAGGGAAACCCAAGTGAAGCTCCTGGCTTCGGCCTGGCCGGGACCACTGTGGCCATCTGGGGAGTGAACCAGTAGACAGAAGATCTCTTCCTCTCCCCCCGCTTTCTCTCCCTCTTCCTCTCTCCCCCTCCCCCTCCCTCTCTATATATAACTCTGACTTTCTAAATAAATAAATGTCTTTTTTAAAAAGTAAGAATAAATAAATAAAAATATAACAGTAAAACAAAATACTGCAGTTTCTGATAGCCAGCAGTCCCCTGCCAGAAGCAGGTCAGGGAAACTCTGCTGTTTCTCTCCTGTTGATTTTGACTTAATAGACTGTTTTCAGTGAAAGTTTAGAAAACTAGAGACTGGGTTAGATAATCAAGGCCTCCAGAAAAGCAATTTAACACTTTGTCTCAGATCAGCCTCCAATGGAGTTCTTGGGGTGTTAGACCCAAGGGCTAAAAGATAAGCAGGTCTTATGGGGCTTTGAAGACAACAGATAAGATTCTGATGAGAACCATTTCTACTACCTTAATAAGCAGAATGCTGATGCCAGTCTGAGAAAAAGACCAGGGGTGGAATGGATTAATGATACTAAATGCTACCTCGATTTTCATCTTCTTCTTTATAAGAAACACGTACCTTACAATTCCTACATTCTGCCACACACACACAATGAGAGAGAGAGAGACAGATTTTAAGATTTTAAGATTTTAAGAGACAAAGACTTTAGGGGCTGTCACTGTGGCACAGCAGGTTAACATCCTGACCTGAAGCACCAGCATCCCATAGGGGCGCCGATTCTAGTCCTGGCTGCTCCAATTCTGTGCTGTGGCCTGAGAAAGCAGTACAAGAAGAACCAAGTCCTTGGGCCCCTGCACCCATATGGGAGACCCGGAAGAAGCTCCTGGCTCCGGATCCGTGCGGCTCCAGCCATTGCAGCCATCTGGGGAGTGAACCAGCAGATGGAAGACCTCTCTCTTTGTTTCTACTTCTCTGTAACTCTTTCAAATAAAATAAAATAAATATTTTTTTAAAAAAAGAGAGACAAAGACCATAAAGGCTTCTATACCACATATCCCGGTTGTGATCAGAACTACCTGAAAGAGATATCGATTCCTTCCTGACTGCAGGAAGAATCAACCTTGACAACAACGAAGCCTTTAAGCCCAACCAAAAAGACCTGCAACATCACAAGGACTTGCAAACTTTAGTGTGTGTCTCTGTCTGTCTGTCTGTGTATGTGTCTGTGTGTGTCTGTGTGTGTGTCTGTGTGTGTGTATCTGTGTGTCTGTGTATGTCTGTGTGTGTGTGTGTGCGAGAAGTAGCTTTAACAATGGGATGTTAATTTTACAGTGGAAAATGGAACCCCATGTCATGGTTCCAAATTACAATTTTTCACCAAGCTATTATCAAGTCATACTATGCAGGGGCTTCAACGTGAACAAAGCTTAATTCACCAAAGGCACTATCAATAATTTCCATGGTATGCCCAACAAAGCCCAATCACTATGCTGGAGACCCAGACCCACGGTGAGTTCACTGACGTTGACTCCACCAGGACTGGACGAACCCGGCAGAGCCCATCACTTCTCTTGGGAAACACAAAACTGAAAATGCAGTTTATTTCGGGCATGATTTTGCGGTCACAACACTTCTAATGACGCAGGCATTGTCTTTAGTAATTTGTATCACCTTTCCCTACAAACACAGAGCTCTTTCGCCTCACAAGTAGTTAAATGACATAATGCAATGGTCCTCCTGTAAACCCCTGTTTTCTAAAGCACCCTGGCTTGACAGGATAGATTCACAGAAACAGAGAAACTCAATTACTAGGAGAAGTTCCGATTTTTCAAGTTAAGAAACACAAGTTTTGGCACTGAGAAAAACAGCAACATGGGCTCCTATGTACACGCGCTCCAGATCTCCCGGACGGAGAGAACCTACGCACTGCCAGCTGCATTTGATTTTTGGGTTTTTACAGGCTAACGTGTGAAGGGCAGATGTGATTTCACTGAAGGTCCCCTCCTAAGAACACGCCTCCTCTAAGGAGTCGCACCAGGAGTTCCTCTGGGACACAGTGAGCTTCCAGAAGGCATGGGCCTGATCCAACACGGACACTGATTTCCCAGGCAACAACCCCGGGAACAACACACGGGTTATTTTCCCAACTACCCCAATGAGACATCATTATCCTCATTTTTTAAATTAAAAATTTCACAACCCAGAGGTAATGTGGACCCTGCCCACGTCATGGAGCCGGAGGCAGGAGGGTAACCAAGGCCATGAGATGGAAACGTTCCTAACAGGCACACAGCCGGCCAGAGCCATGGACTGCAGGCTGCACCGGAACCCCTCTCAAGTGGGGCCCAGGGGAGCTCACCTCAGACCTCGACTCCTCCGCGCGGAGGCGGCTCACGCCCTGGCCCGTCCTCCAGGACAGCTGGGAGAACGTGCAGTCCACAGAATGAGAAACCTCTCAAAAACTCAAAGCTCCGCAGAAGTGTGCATGTGCTAAATGCACCCAACTCCGGCTACTCCAGACACAGAAACTGCGCTCCACAGCATGGGGAAGACGCTACGGGGCGTGTGCAGCCGCTTGTGGGGTCTTTTCCGGGGAGAATCCGGGCATCCAGGTCTCGGCTGCAGAGAGAAGCAGCACGGACAAGGCTGTGGAAACACGGCCCTGCCGCTCACTGTGGGGGCAGTGAGGCAGTCTGAGAACACAGAGCGCCCTGCATGCGAGTCCGCGTCCAGGGAAACACTTTCTTCAGTAAAAAGACCCCGACTACAAAGAACATATGGAAACGCTGGCTTGATTTCAAAATTCAAACCCTGAGGGAGCAAGATAATGATTTCTTTAAAATATACAGAACTCTGATACGCAAAGAACAAGAATCTGTTCTTACCTCCCACATGTATACATTATTCTTAACCTGAGATCTTTTTTTCTTATCACCAACAAATGGCCCAAACTTTTTGCCTTTTAAAATTGGTTTAGTGGCCCAGACACCTAGAAAATAAAACCAACATTTTAGTGTGTTGTGCTTACTTGAAAGGTTGAAAGCATTAAAATCAGCTCAGTTTCACAAAATAGTTGACGAGGCCAGACAAGATGATGTTAAATCAACCGAGATCAGGCTACATCAAAGCAAGTTCTTAATGGGAACTTTTATTTTTCTTCTTCATACTTTTCTGTATTTTCCAGATTGTCTATAAAGAACCTGTACTATTCTGTGACTGGGGAAGAATGTTTTATTTTTGCTTTTAAGTTTACATGTAAAACCACCTACACTGTGCAATCACAAATATCTGAAGAACACATAGTTGAAGAGGAAAAAAAATCAGAATGAAGTGAAACTACAAACAATCTTTAAGCTCTTCCTTCCACTTTTCTGGAGATTTCAAATTGCCTCCAGTGAACATGAGTTATTTTTATAGAGAATTAGGACTACAGTTTTGTGAATAAACATTTCTGAATTTCACTGGCTCCAAGTAGAAAGCCCTTCTCGCTGTAGCTAAGCTTCCTGACAACCTCCAGAGGCTGAAACTACCAAAGGATAAGCCCATCCCTGGCGTTCTTAGGACTGCTTCTACTTCTCGTGCACTGACCACAAAGCAAGCCGGCAAGATGACGAAGCCACCAGGAACGGGTCAGGCACCAGCCCTGGAGTCAAGGGAACTGGCACACACGGTCAGTTTGGACAGTGTCCCTCTCCTGGCCTCCAGTTCCTCATGAATAGACTGGGAGTGGAGGCTGGGCCAGTCTTGTGTAGCTTTCTGGAAGCCTGCTATGAATTGCATTTGATTATAGCACTAACAAATCAATTTAGGGGAGCTAGGAAATCAATGACTTTCTTTCATTTGAATGATATAAACAAACAGATTAAGCCAAAGAGAATTAGGAAAAGCAATTACTAAAAATTTATCCACATGACTATCAGAAAAACATCTGAAAAAAGAAACAGAATATAAACATAAGATAGTCCGAGCCTGTACGTGGACCACATTTTTATAATTTATAGCCTCAGCCTTCTGTTGAAAGATGAGGCCACAAAAAACAAGACCAGGCACACACAAGCTTGGCTTGCATTCCGCGAAAACCCAGCCCAAAGCACCTGGAGACCCTCAGGTTGTGTCACTCATTCAAGCAACTACTAATGGACCACAAGGACTCTGTACTGCAGGTCTAAAGAAGAACGAAGGCACTCCCAGCCAACGACAGGCACAGATGTGAGAACAAGTACAAAACAAGGAAATAACCGGATTAACATGATCAGAGCAGGCCGGTGGGGGAAGGCACCCTCTGGTGAGTGCTGAAGGTGGGTGTGTGTGTGTGCACACGTGCAAGCGTGCACACCTGGTTTTACTTTTACAATCAACAGCACAGTCTTCCGGTCAAGGGTCCATCTGCTGCCTCGCAGGCCCCCCAGGGAGCCTCAGGGCCACCTGCTCTTTACTGCCCGCAGTGCTCACCGATCCGGCTCTTGTCCACAGCAGACGGGCAGAGCCTCACTTCCTCGGGAAGTCCTCGCAGCACATGTTCAGGCACCTCGGCCAGGGACTCTGCGGCTGCCACAGGCTCGGCAGTGTTCTGCAAGGCAGGAAACAGGCGATCAGAGCAGAAGGAAGAAAGCCCAAGTCATGTTTTGTTTTTTTTCTGGTCCGATAAGCAAACATGCAAAACATGTAACTGAAACCGGAAGCTGGCAGATCAGACCCAAAAGGTGACGGCAAGCACGCGCGAGGCATTCTGACGCTAGTTTATGAGACTCCAAAGGAAACGGCTGCTACCTCGGAGCCCGTCTGTGTTTATCTGTTTGTCCTAGCCACCTGCGGCCACTTGCAAACGATGCACACCCCAGCACCACAATGCTTCCAGCCCTAAAAGATCTGGCAGCCAAGGACAGCACAAGCCTGCTTTTAAAATCAAAGGCTGCGTTCCCTGCTTCAAAATGCTCAAAAATGGAAATCAACATTGTGCACTCAAATGAAAATGTCCAGCACATACTGCAGAGGCCACGCTGCCTATCTGACCCTGCCCAGCCCAAACACCCATCCACCAACCACTCCCAGCTTGACTGGGGCTGGAGCATTCCATCCAAACACACACCACATCTTACGGTGGTAGAGGTGCGACCTCCCCAGAAAACAGAAATTCAGCAGTGCACGGTCACAACGATGGCACAAAGCAGCTCAGACAGGAAGAACATCACACGATCCCTGATCGAGACGTAGGCTGGAACTCATCATAATCTCAACACGCAGGATTACTATTAGATAAGGACGCAGGACGGAAAAGGCGACGGCCAATCAGAGGCAACTCTCAAGTCAAAGGAGAACCACCGAGTGTCTGCTACCTGGTCCCACGTCTCTGGGGACGATGCTGGAACCGCCCCAGCCGACGCATCGGTTACAGCACCTCTGAGAATGCCGGCCTGTGTTCAGTTCACTGCAAACGGACACAATTCCCAAGGACTTTCAAAGGAACCAATGTAAGCAAAAAGCAAACTTTAAGCTAAAGATTAATTTTTTGCACAATGAAGCTCTTGTGGTTTTTAAGAATGTCATGTGCCAAGACAGGAATACCATCCAAATTTGTGTACTCCCAGCATTTCAATTTTTTTTTTTTTAAATATCAATAGGCTGCTTCAAGAGAAAGGAACACCACAGTGGTTGCCAAGGTCTCGTCTCTGGCCCGCTTCCAGACAACATCCCTCAGACACCTGCCGAAACAGGAGGATAAATTCACTCCAGAAAACAGCTTTAGGAAGCTCTGAATTAGCTACAGTGCAAGTAAATTTAACACAGATATTTCTACTTCTAAATATAACCCATTCTAGAAAATTTTAACCTGCAAGCTGGATTTTTGGAAATATAAATTTTTTCTAAATTTGGTACATGATGATTATTTTGTAGCACTCACCCATTAGGCAACAGTCAGGAGTACCAGCAGAGCCAGGAGTCCTGTCAGCGCCATCAGGGTTACACTTTCTGGGTTGTGACCCAGGGCCAAAGCTCGGCACCACTTACCACCGCAGGAGCAGCCCGCTGGGAGAACAGCGTCTGCTGACCTACACTGGCACTTCCGGGCAGCGGCACACCGACGGCTGCTCAGCACGAGCGCTGTGCTGCCCACCTTACCTGCTTGGTCAAGTTACCCCAAGCAGCCCGAGAGGAAGGGAGTCAGGGATTCCCCTCTAAACCTCGCCACACATACACAGACACAGGAGGAAACCAAGCCTTGGGGAAGGGGCCCAAGTGGTTCACAGCCTGCATCTGAATCTCTGTCTGACTTGGGGTCCCCACCTGGCATCACAGGAGCACCACCTGAGAACAGCCTCCGCCTAAAACCTCCAGACCCACGGCCGGGTCAGCCACTCCCACAGGAAATGTCTCACTCGAGACCACTGTGTTAGAACCTCTCGAACAGGGGCTGGCGCTGTGGTGCAGCGGGTTAACGCCCTGGCCTGGAGCGCCGGCATCTCATATGGGCGCCAGTTCTAGTCCCAGATGCTCCACTTCCAGTCTGGCTCTCTGCTTTGGCCTGGGAAAGCAGTACAGGTTGGCCCAGGTCCTTGGGCCCCTGCACCCATGTGGGAGACCCAGAAGAAGCTCCTGGCTCCTGGCTTCGGATTGGCACAACTTCAGCTGTGAACCAGCGGATGGAAGACCTCTCTCTCTCTCTGCCTCTCCTCTTCTGCATAACTCGACTTTCAAATAAATAAATAAATCTTAAAAAAAAAAACTCTAGGACAGCTGTGAGTATCAAGAACCACAGCACAGCAGCCAGGTGCAAAGGAACTCGGACGATCCCACTGCCCGTGGTCACCCGGACGGTCCCACTGCCCGTGGTCACCCGGACAGTCCCAGCATGACTGTGGATGGGAGCCCCTCACCGGGAGAGGACACTTTGTTAGTGATCTCAGAATCCTCACTCCGGTGGGACTGAGCTCACACAGGAAGCCCTCACTCACAGCACCCCACTCCAGTCTCGGGCCAGCCCAGCCCTCCCTTCCACCTCCAGTGAGTGCAGTTTCTGCAGCAGCGGCTCTGGCTGCAAACAGCAGGGACACTCTTAGAAAGTCAGTGATTGATACTGACGCCATAAACAAGAGTGTCAATTTGTTAAGTCAACAACAGGAGTCACTGCGCACTCACTCCTCATGTAGGATCTCTGTCCTTAATGTGTTGTACAATGTGAATTAATGCTATAACTAGTACTCAAACAGTATTTTACACTCTGTGTTTCGGTGTGGATGCAAACTGTTGAAATGTTTACTTAATTTATACTAAATTGATCTTCTGTATATAAAGATAATTGAAAATGAATCTTGATGCAAATGGAATGGGAGAGGGAGTGGGAGATGGGAGGGTTGCGGGTGAGGGAAGATATGGGGGGGAAGCCATTATAATCCATAAACTGTACTTTGGAAATTTATATTTATTAAATAAAAATTTTAAAAAAAGTCAGTGACTGAAGAACTGGAAGGCACAGACTTGTGGCATGGCCTGCACTCTCCCCTTCCTGTTTTCCCTTCATGGTTCTTATCACGGCCATTAATAACTGTGTAATTATGTGCTGAGTGTGTGTCTCCCCTGCTAGACCGGAGAGAAGACAGATGGTGTCTGTCCAGTCCAGTGTTGCGTTCCCAGCGCTGGGCAGTGGACCTCAAATGTCTGTTGTCACTTAAATACTTGACTGAGTGTGTGATTCTTGGACGCTAACTGAAACCTTTCTTTGGAAAAAGGAGAGAAAGAAAAGAGCAGGGTCACCTCTCAGAAGCACTTTCTCCACATGCGCCCGGGCACTGAGGCAGGGACTGGGGTGAACACAGGCGTCCCTCGGCATCCAGGGGCACAGGTTCCAGGACCCCTGCAGACCCCAGACTCCGAGGAGCTCCGATCTCTCACAGGACACAGCCCACACTTTAAGTCACCTCTACAGTACTGACAACACCTAATCAATGCAAATGCTACGTCAGCAGTTGTCATGGGGTATTGTTTAGGAAACAACCGTGTTGGGAACCAAGATAAAATCCAGGCAGAGCCCACATGTAACCACTAAGCCAGCAGGGTCTCCACTCCCAGTCCGCAAGCGGAGGTCCCTTTCAGGAATGCAAAGTCAGAGCTACTGTGAAAACAACACTAAGACGTCACCGGCCTTTTCCCCTTGGTCTCCTGAGGGCTCTGCTCTGTGATGATGTCATCATCCTGCCAGCTACTGAAATACATCGCCATTTAATTTTCTGATTCTGCAGTTTCTGAGTTGTGAGTAAGGCCTGTAGTCTGAAACTGCTGCAATCGATGTGCGAGACCCAGGTGAGACGCCATCCCTGGGGAAGGCAGAGTGACGAGGACACAGGACTGCGATTTTTCCAACTTCCTGTGAAGCTATAATTATTCAGAATAAAAACTTTTAAAATGTTTCTAGATTTCTAACATGGCGAACAGCCCCAGGTTAACAAGCATCAACACAAAGCCAAGAGCCGCTAGGCCACGCGAGACGGCCCCACACCTTCCAGCACCTCTCAGCTCAGGGCGAGGAGCAGAGGCCGAGACTCAGAGCCCAAACCAACAGGAGTGCGGTGCTGAGACCGCAGGGCACACCCACGTCCCACCTGCCCCTCTTCCTGTGCCCCAAACACATGCGCAGGGTCTTTTTCATTGGAAGGGTTTCACTGCTAACTTCTGAAAAAGAATAAGCAAAACACACCGGAATAAACTGGGCTAAGTTGGCAGTGGCTTCCGAGTACGGTATCCAAGGCAACCGCTTACCAGCAGGCCTCTGAGCTTCTGGTGGGGAGGAAAAGAAAAGCCGGAGAGAGACCCTCTTCTCTGCTTTTAAAGCCCAGGGTGCTGGGTCAACTCTGGCACGGTGGGTTGAGTTGCCACCTGTAACGCCAGCATCCCATATGAGCACCGTTTCAAGTGCTGGCTGCTCCGTTTCACACCCAGCTCCCTGCTCATGGCCTTGGAAAGAAGAAGGTGACCTAAGTATTTGGGTTCCTGCCGCTCCTGTGGGAGACCCGCATGGAGATCTGCTCTCCTGGCTTAGGCCTGCCCAGTCCTGTCTGTTACAGACATCGGGAGAGAAAATCAGCAGACGGAATCTCAGAATCTCTCTCTTTCCATTGCAAATAAATAAACCCCAGGGGGCTGAGGTCCCAGGGCAGCAGAATCTGACAGGGGCCAACCAGCATTGTCATCCCGGGCCCGGCCCTATGATACCGGACCTGCCCAGCAGCAGTGCCCACTGTGCTATGCCTACGCCGGGGCTCAGCCACAACACTGGTGGCAGCCTGCACCTGTGAGCCCTTGCTGGAAGGCTGGTTATCACCTCTCACTGTGAGCAAACACAAATGCCAGCTGCCGAGGGGCCTGGGGTACAGAGAGAGCAATGGCTGGGGGGCAGCCCAAGCTCAACTGGGAACCAAGTCCCTGCGTGAGATGCCTCATTGCAGAGCAGAGAATGAGGGAAGGGCCAAGAACTGAGTGCTCTGTGGGGCCGAGAATGAGGGAAGGGCCAAGAACTGAGTGCTCTATGGGGCCGAGAATGAGGGAAGGGCCAAGAACCGAGTGCTCTGTGGGGCC